GGGGGCCCCGGGAATGTGGGGCCTATGGACCTTTGGCTGGTTGGGAACTTCCTTGAGGCTTTATTTTTCCCATCAGAAAAGTTTTGTGGGCAAGCGGAGCAGCCTGAATGGACAAGCGCGTGGCCCAGGCCCTGGGGGAACAGGGGATAAGGGTGGCCATCCCCGCCCTCAAAGCTTAGGGCTTGTAGGGGAGGCAGAGGGCCGGACTTTCCTTATGCAGGGGTGGGTACGCCCAGGGGGCCGTGGGGGCAGGAGGTGGGCACCCTGAGGAGTGGGAGTGTGGAGGACTTCCCGGAGGCAGCAGGGCCTGGATGGAAAGGGAAGAGGAGGTGGGAGGGCAGAAGGAAGGGCACTCTGTGGAGAGGGGGCGGCAGAGGGAGGAGCCCAGAGGTGGGAGCTGCCTGGTGTTGGTGGACGGCTCAGTGCTCAGTGCTCCCAGGTGCAGCGACGCAGGGAAACTCCCAGACAGGGATATGGAGCTAAGAGGCCGGGGAAGCTGGAAGCCAGGTTAAGGAGCTGGACTCTAAGGGGAGGTGATGGTGAGTCACAACTGTTAGGCTGTGAGCGCTGCCGTCACATGAGTCCGTGTGGCAGCTGTGAGGAGGAGGGAGCGCCCTGGGGGCGGGACGGGCACAGAGGGAGAGGAGGGGAGGTAGATCGACAGCTGGAAATAGACTGGATTGGCGGGAGGAGGACACCCCGGTTTCTGGGTGGAGCGGGACAGGGAGGGCAGGAGGCAGGAGGTAGCTCTGGGAGAAAAGGCTGCTAGAGGGGTGCAGCAGGCCCTGGCTGCCTGCACTTCCGGAGAGAGGGGAGGCTGACGGCCCAGGGAGGCTGGAGACTGAGGCTGCGTGAGCTCCCCCAGACCAAGTGTGCAGTGTGATGGAAGGGGTCTGGCACCCAAAGCTCCAGCGAGGGTGTTGGACGGGTGCCTCCCCAGCATCCGCCAGATCCAGACTCCCTGAGCCTTGGGAATGTTGGGGATGAGATGGCCCAAAGCAGAATTCCAAGATCTGGGTTCCCCCTTAACTCACTGCCACCAGCCACTACATGGCTGTCAGCGTGTCACAGCCTCTCTGAGACCAGACGGAGGTCTGCTCGTGTTGGGCTATTGCCGTTCTGCATAGGACTTGCATATGTGCATGTTTCCAGCTCACTTTTCAGGACGAAAGGGAAGGGAGAATTCCAGGTGAGGCACCTTTAAGCAACAGATCTCTGCCTGAAAGGCTGACCCCCAATGACCGAGAAGCCTCAGGGGAGGTCCCTGTTCGCATCTGGGGGAACGCAGCAGGGAGGACTGTCAGACAGTCGCCACTTGTTGAAGCGCTGGGCTGTGGTTTTGTGTACCTGTAAATCACCTGATTACCCCGCTTCAGGGAGCACCTACACCACCGTGGAAGATGCTAAAGGAAGGACTCAGCACAATGGGTCCTCCACAAGGTACCCCGCAAACCTCCCTTCTGGTGACTCCCCTCAGCCTGATTCTGACTGGCAGGGTGGGCCCTGGCTCCTGGCCCTGTGGTCTGCCCCGCAACCCTGCCCGCCCCCCCCCCAACCAGTGCACTTGACTCTGACCTTAGAGTCCACCCCCCTTTCCCACCTACCCAAGTGTAACCTATCTCCAAGCCCTCCCCGCTCCCCTCCCTCCCCACCCCCAGTAGCCCAGTGCATCCCAGCCAAGTTCTTTGCATTTACCTGTGGTTTTCCTGGCCAGGTCTGTGGCAGCGTCTGCTGTGGACTGGTCCAGGGCTGAGTCTGTGCTTCTGCTTGACGTCGATGGGTAGGTGGCAGTGTCCGACGTGGTCAGGTTAATGGCACTGTCGGGTGTGGCCTCTCCAATGGCCGGGTTTAGGGTGGCCGGCACAGCCGAACCCATGCCTGTGCCCAGCCTGCTCTTGTGCAAAGCAGGAGACCCCGCAGTTATGTCCCGCTTGGCTGGATCGGCTCTGTCCAAAGCCAGGACTCTGTCTGGCCTGGCTGTGCCCAACTTGACCGGGTCTGGGGCTGCCACATCCTCGGCTGTGGCCCCTGTAGCTGTATATGGCTTGGCTGTGCCTGCTGTGGCTAGGGCCTTGCCCAGCTTGTCTGGGTCTGGCCTTACCAGGCCCTGTTTGGCTGTGCCTTCTGTAGCCAATTCTGTGGCTGTGCCCAGTTTGGCATCCAGAGCAGGGAACTCCAGGGAATTCTGTGCCTGTGTTCAGTCTGGGTGTGTTTGCTGTGGCTGAGTTGACAGCCAAGCGGGGTCTGTTGGTGGCCATTGTGGCTAAATGTCTGCCCGTGCCTCTCATTGTGTCCAGAGTCGCCAAATCCATGGCCATCGCCGGCGCCACGGTAGGGATGGCCCTTTGGAGATGCAGCCGGGGTCTCAGGGTAGCCCTGGACCTGGGCCTGCCTCTTCCTGAGGAAGCTCTGGCAGGCACATGGGCAGCCGCTGGGCCAGGGTGCCTCTGACCCGCTGGTCCTGGGCCTGCGGGGCCTGGTGGGTCCTGGGCCGGCCGGGGTTGGAAAGGTAGGGCCAGGTGGGAACTCACCAGGGGCTTCGCCACGGGCATCCTGCTGGGTTTGGCCAGACCTGGGTTCCCTGGGCCCTCAGAGTGAACCCTGCCCCCTGGCACTAGGATCAGAGATGGTGAGTCTGGAGAGGGCAGCCTCCCTCTTCCATGGGCAGCAGCCTCCCTGCCCAGGGTGGGCACCTCTTCCCAGGCCTGGCTGGTGGGCTGGAGCGTTAAGGAGATGGAGCTGAGCTTCCTGGGCACGATGCTGTTGGCCGTCTCCTGCGGGAGCACGCTCCGGGCCCGGGCTCCGAGACCTGGCCGGCCGGGAGCCTGTGGGATGTAGCTTGGCGAGAAGGCATCCAGGCGGACGGTCTTCCTGAGGACAGGGATGAGAGGGGACGCCCCTCCAGGGAGCCTTGAGGGGTGGGCAGGGCGCCCCAGCAGGTGGCCTTGGGAGAAGGAGGGTCCAGGGCCTGGAGATCCACGTGGCTGCATCTCAAAGTCGAGGTCCTGCCGGGACTTTTGTCTTTCCCTGAGGCAGTCAACAGAGAGGGCCAGGCAGCTGTGAGGCTGGGCTCAGAGTGCCCGCCCTCCCCTCCTGGCCAGCAGCTCACACTGCAGGTCCGAAGGGGCCTCGCTGGGGTCCTCAATGGAGTACGAATGTCCCTCCTGCAGTCCCCACACCTCCGCCTGTGACACCTGCACACCTCACACACGGGCCCTCATCCACCCCTGCCCGGGCACCACACCCGTGGACATGGGGAATGTTCCACCAACACGGCCTCCAGTGAACAGGCAGCTCCTGTTAGGAGGGAGCTTGGGGGCCCAAGTGTGTCCCCTCTCTTTTTTAAAAATATTTTTATTGATTTCAGAGAGCAAGGGAGGGGGAGAGAGAGATAGAAACATCAATGATGAGAGAGAATCATCAATTAGCTGCCTCCTGCACGCCCCCTACTGGGGATCGAGCCCACAATCCAGGCGTGCACTCTGACTGGGAATCGAACCCAGACCTCCTGGTTCATAGGTCGATGTTCAACCACTGAGCCACGCTGGCCGGGCCGTGCCCCCTCTCTCCATGGACAACTCCGTGGAGGTCACACACTGTGTTCAGGGACTCCGAGAAGGGCAATGGTTAGGTACCTCTGCCTCTTCTAGAAGGTGCCAGAGGGCTCTGGGTTCCCACCCACAGCAGCCACAATAGGAGTCAGGCGTCCAGGTAGGAGGCTGAGGGATGAGCATTTACTTGGGAGCAGGGTCTGCATCTGGGGCTCCTGTCCTGAAACCAGAGAGAGCCCTGGGCTGGCCTGCTGCTGCAGCCGGGATCGGAGCCTCAGCTGAGGACCCGGGGGAAGTGGGCTTCAGTGGAGAAGTGACAAGTGCTCACAGGATGACCAGTGAGCCAGCCCTGTCCCTGCCCCCAGGGGACCTGTCAGGCAGAGGAGCAGACAGGGCTATGCTAGAGCTGTGTGTCAGGATCGAAGCAGGGAGGCTGGGCCTGGGGCGGGGGGGGGCGGTCACACGGCAGGCCCGAAGGTCAGGAAGTGTGGCATCTTCCTGAAAACCCACCCTGGGGGTCCCAGACTGTATCTGGGAGCGGGGGCAGGGCTGCAGGTGCGCTGGAGCCCAGGCCAGGCCCTGGGAGCTGACCCAGTCGGATCTGCGGGTGGGAACGTCACCCCGGAGCAGTGTGAACAGAGTGACAGAGCAGGGGAACAGAGTGGAGGCAAGGGGATCGGCAAGAACATTTGGAAACACGGTGGGCTGGGAGTGGGGCGCAGAAGGCGTCATAACTCGGGCAGAAGCCATGGGACTGCCTGCAGGTGGGAAGCAGGGGAGAGAAGAGGTGGTGAGGGCTCCAGGTGGTGGTCTATGTGGATGAGAGCCCTTCCCTCTGCAACGAGGCTGGAACATGATGCCGGGGGCCAGGCCAGGGCCGGCAGGAGGGCGCTGGGAGAGGGCGCTGCTATAGCCAGGTCCCTAAGGTCTGAGGCAGGGGCCTTCGCC